TTCAGCGTGTGGGTTTAAGGAGTTTGAGGCCGAATTTCGGATTCGAGATGTTGGGGCATCGGGGTTTCAGGTTCAGTCTTCTAGAGCTTTGTCACACTGACACTCTGGCAAAGCCAGGCAAGGTCTGCAAACGAGACTGAACGAAAATGACAACTTCAACTAGAATGCATCGGGCACGTGTCGCCCAATACGATGCTGTCAAGTGATTTTTGCCAGACCATTGCAGGGACAGCTACTAACAGTAAGGTAACCTCATTGACTCATTCGCAGCAGTCATTCTCTTTCAACCATGAACTTGCAATGGGCACGTAGACACATTCTTCGTGCAGATCGACATCGGCGCACTCAAAACCGACCAGGAGCAGGCAAAATGCAGTGGGAAGCGATCCCAGCACAGAGCCCGGCACGCAGAAAACAAATTCATGATATCTCCAGAGCGAAGATTCACGTCAAGTGTGGCCAGCGTACAATCAACATTGCTTGCAAAACAGCATGCATTGCGAAGTCATATTAATATGAATTTGCTTGCATCGACCGCCAAATTCAGTGTGCATGCAGTAAGATAGTAAGATAAAGCCGTGTAGCGGGAGCGGTTTCCGAAAGTAAGTCGCCTGCTTCCAGTAAGGCTTGCAGGGGCACATCCCCATCAAGGTATCTTGCAGAAATATATCCATCACGCCACACTCTTTTTGCATTGTAAAGTATCCATGTAGGAAAACCTGGTGCGCGGTCGGACTTGCCTGTAGAGCACAATCAGACAAGATTGGAGAAGGTACCTCTGCCGAGGAAAGCAAAACTCATCCCGAGCTGCGAAGAGGTCTCATCCACGGCCTGTGCATACACTTGGCCCGACGGTCGAGACGGATCCAGACACCCCCTACACGCAACTTGCGGCAACGTGACATGGATGTAGGTTCCATGGATGTAGATTTCATCACAGCCTTTGCTCAAGGCAGTAAGAAACAGAGCAATGATGCGATGTAACATGCTGTCTTTTCACAGCCGGGTGGTTTCTTAATGCAATGTAGGCAGCCATTCCTGTGATCATCTCCCGCACAAATATGCACCAGTTGAAACCAAAATTGAGCCGTCGTGTGCACTCCACGCTATTGAGCACGCCTGTTATTAATCACATCCACCAGATCTTGCAACCCGAAAACCGGTGAAAGTGTCATACACCTGCCTGAATTAGTCGCCAGGTTGACCGCAGCAAAATCGGGGAAGCTTTGGTCACCGGGAGCTCAGATGAAAGACCCCCATGCAACAGGCATGGCGGCCCATGCTGCCTCTTGGCTCTGTTTTTGATACATCTCGCCTCAGCTATGCAGGATGCCTGGCTCCCTAGCCTGCCCGCAGCAAAATACTATTTATGGCCGGGTGCCTCAGCCCCTGGAGCAGGGCCAACTCCTCCCTGGCGGCCGGAACCGTGTCTCTGTTGTCCTCCTCCATGACCTTGACCGCCACAGGCCGCTTGGTCACCGTGTCAAAACCCCTGAACACGGTGCCGAAGCTGCCGGCCCCCAGCATCTGGGAAAGGTCGACTTCAAATCGAGAGGCAAGAGACAGGCAGAGCGGGAGCACCCGTTGAGCTGGGATCTTGAGCCACAGCCATTCAAGAGTTTTACCGGCCAGGGTGTCCGGTTGCTTTAGGGTTTCCGTCTTCAGTGAGCTGAGTGGCCGAGTGGAACAAGGAAGCATTGGAACCCGCTATGAGGTCTTATACTTCTGCTGCATAGTACATTTTTGAAGTATCCGGAAAAACGCTGAATTCTGGGGCTTAAGAAACAGCCGGGTGCTTTCTTAATGCAATATAGGCAGCCCTTCCTTGGATCGTCTCCGGCAAAAAAACTCGTAGATCATGCCATATGCACCAGTTGAAACATTGAGACGTCGTTTGCACTCCACGCTATTGAGCACGCCTGTTTATCATGTCCACCAGATGTTGCAACCGGAAAACCGGTGAAGGGGTCCTACACCTGCACGAATTTCGTGCCGGCTTGACCGCAGCAAAGTACTATTTATGGCCTGGTGCCTTAGCCCCTGGAGCAGGGCCAACTCCTCCCTGGCGGCTTGAACCATGACCTTGACCGCCGCAGGCCGTTTGGTCACCGTGTCAAAACCCCTGAACACGGTGCCGAAGCTGCCGGCCCCCAGCATCTGGGAAAGGTCGACTTCAAATCGACATGGTGCAGGGCCAACTCCTCCATGGCCGCTTGAACCGTGTCTCTGTCGTCCTCCTCCATGACCTTGACCGCCACAGGCCGTTTGGTCACCGTGTCAAAACCCCTGAACACGGTGCCGAAGCTGCCGGCCCCCAGCATCTGGGAAAGGTCGACTTCAAATCGACATGGTGCAGGGCCAACTCCTCCATGGCCGCTTGAACCGTGTCTCTGTCGTCCTCCTCCATGACCTTGACCGCCACAGGCCGTTTGGTCACCGTGTCAAAACCCCTGAACACGGTGCCGAAGCTGCCGGCCCCCAGCATCTGGGAAAGGTCGACTTCAAATCCAGAGGCAGGAGATAGGCAGAGAAGGAGCACCCTTTGAGCTGGGATCTTGAGCCACAGCCATTCAATATTTTTAGCGGCTTGACCGCGGCAAAGTACTATTTATGGCCTGGTGCCTCAGCCCCTGGAGCAGGGCCAACTCCTCCCTGGCGGCTTGAACCGTGTCTCTGCTGTCCTCCTCCATGACCTTGACCGCCACAGGCCGTTTGGTCACCGTGTCAAAACCCCTGAACACGGTGCCGAAGCTGCCGGCCCCCAGCATCTGGGAAAGGTCGACTTGAAATCGAGAGGCAGGAGATAGGCAGAGCAGGAGCACCCTTTAAGCTGGGATCTTGAGCCACAGCCATTCAACATTGTTACAGTAGCGGCTTGACCGCGGCAAAGTACTTTTTATGGCCGGGTGCCTCAACCCCAACCAACTCCTCCCTGGCGGCTTGAACCGTGTCTCTGCTGTCCTCCTCCATGACCTTGACCGCCACAGGCCGCTTGGTCACCGTGTCAAAACCCCCGAACACGGTGCCGAAGCTGCCGGCCCCAAGCATCTGGGAAAGGTCGACTTCAAATCGACATGGTGCAGGGCCAACTCCTCCATGGCGGCTTGAACCGTGTCTCTGTCGTCCTCCTCCATGACCTTGACCGCCACAGGCCGTTTGGTCACCGTGTCAAAACCCCTGAACACGGTGCCGAAGCTGCCGGCCCCCAGCATCTGGGAAAGGTCGACTTCAAATCCAGAGGCAGGAGATAGGCAGAGAAGGAGCACCCTTTGAGCTGGGATCTTGAGCCACAGCCATTCAATATTTTTAGCGGCTTGACCGCGGCAAAGTACTATTCATGGCCTGGTGCCTCAGCCCCTGGAGCAGGGCCAACTCCTCCCTGGCGGCTTGAACCGTGTCTCTGCTGTCCTCCTCCATGACCTTGACCGCCACAGGCCGTTTGGTCACCGTGTCAAAACCCCTGAACACGGTGCCGAAGCTGCCGGCCCCCAGCATCTGGGAAAGGTCGACTTCAAATCGAGAGGCAGGAGATAGGCAGAGCAGGAGCACCCTTTAAGCTGGGATCTTGAGCCACAGCCATTCAACATTGTTACAGTAGCGGCTTGACCGCGGCAAAGTACTTTTTATGGCCGGGTGCCTCAACCCCAACCAACGCCTCCCTAGCGGCTTGAACCGTGTCTCTGTTGTCCGCCTCCATGAGCTTGACCGCCACAGGCCGCTTGGTCACCGTGTCAAAACCCCTGAACACGGTGCCGAAGCTGCCGGCCCCCAGCATCTGGGAAAGGTCGACTTCAAATCGAGAGGCAGGAGATAGGCAGAGCAGGAGCACCCTTTAAGCTGGGATCTTGAGCCACAGCCATTCAATGTTTTTAGCGGCTTGACCGCGGCAAAGTACTATTTATGGCCGGGTGCCTCAGCCCCTGGAGCAGGGCCAACGCCTCCCTGGCGGCTTGAACCGTGTCTCTGTTGTCCTCCTCCATGACCTTGACCGCCACAGGCCGTTTGGTCACCGTGTCAAAACCCCTGAACACGGTGCCGAAGCTGCCGGCCCCCAGCATCTGGGAAAGGTCGACTTCAAATCGAGAGGCAAGAGACAGGCAGAGCGGGAGCACCCGTTGAGCTGGGATCTTGAGCCACAGCCATTCAAGAGTTTTACCGGCCAGGGTGTCCGGTTGCTTTAGGGTTTCCGTCTTCAGTGAGCCGAGTGGCCGAGTGGAACAAGGAAGCATTGGAGTCCGCTATGAAGTCTTATACTTCTGCTGTATAATAGATTTTGAAGTATCCGATGAAACGCTGAATTCTGGAGCTTAACAAGACTTTCTCACGGAATTGAACAAATCTTTACGGACTCCTTATATGAGATACTTTCGGGGTCCCTCTTCAGGATTGTGGGGTTTCGACCATATTGGTTGCTTCGCGAACTTACGGGTTTCGCCCCTTCGACGCTGTGGAATTCTGTGAATCCGCATGCGAACCGGTGGGGCCGAAGTACACAGTTGCTGAGCGACAGTGGTAATAGGAGCGGCACTACCAGCAGTGGTAGCGGTACTAGAAATGGTAGCAGCAGTGGCGGTGGTAGCAGTTGCAGTAACGACAGCAGTTGCAGTCCGCGTCGTAGGAGGACGGGTAGTAGAGGAGTACCAGTAGCGGAGCCTATGCCAAACTCCATGACATACTGGGGAGGAACCCTACGCACGACCCCGACCCCTGCAGGCCTGCCTCCAAGCCCTCAGCCCCAGACCAACCAAATAACACTGGTCTATTCACGAACAAAGCAATTCTCCGAAAACCCCGAACCTTGTCCCTATCATGTATTGAACATTCCAATTACTCTCACCAATTGGGCACCTTGTGGCCTTAGCATATCCTGGTCTTGAAGCCTGAAGATGTCCTTTTCAGCGCTGGGCCCACGCCCCACGCAAGTTCGTCCCCCCGTCCGGCTTTGCAGCGTCCGCTCTCGCACACGTCCCCGCGGGCTTTGCTCGCAGGGTGGCTCAGGACTACCGCAAGCCGAAGGAGTCCCCAGTCTCCTGAGATCTCGACTCGTTTGTGACATACTAGTAATAGTACTAATCATAAACATGGTAATGACAATAACAATAACGATAATCATAATTATAACAACGACAACAATAATATTAATAATCATAATAACAAACATATAAAAAAGTAATTATCAACATAATAATAACAGTAAGAAAATTCTTGAAGGGTTTTTCGGCTTTTGTAGGTTTTACAAGGATCTCCTGCTCCTGGGCGCTTTTTGCGGACGTCGGGTGTGGGGCTTGGGGTTTCAGGTGCAGGATTCCCCCCTCTCATGCTCGGATTTAGGGTTTAGGGTTTAGGGTTTAAGGGTTTAAGGGTCTAGGGTTTAAGGGTTTAGGGTTTAGGGTTTAGCTTTGGGAGCCCCAGAAGCGCCCCAAGGGAGATCCCCCTGCCTTGTTTGCATCCAGCCTGCAAAGCCTCTGTAAGCCTAAACTAATGGACCCTGGACCTGAATCGAATTGCTGGCGTCTCTATGCTTCGGGGACTTTCTGATTCAAGGTACCATTCTTTTGTTGAATGAAAGGGTTTTGCAATCTCTGGGTTTGGGCTTAAAGCTCTAAGCCCAGAGCACGCCAGAGTTTAAGGCTGAGGTTTTTTTCTCCCGTTGAATTTAAGCTCCGAATCCTATACCTGACCCTGAACCCTGGCTGAGGGCTGAATACAAAGGACTCAAAGTCTACGGGTCATTGGAACGAGGGCCTGCACAACCAGTAGCACTGTTCGCTACGGTTCTCCCATATAGTTCTAGGAGAATAAACCCTTTTTTTGGCATCCGGGCTATGAAGTTCTGGCAATTGCGAGCCCAGAACTCTAAGCACTTCCCCAAAGTAGCGCTACAAGTACTGTAGGGGCCTTCATAATTAGCATAGGGTTTTGTGGCCCCGTTATACCGCAATTAGAATAAGGACCCCAAAATAGCATTGGCCACCCATATGGGAGTTTCCGAATAGAGGGGACCCTAATATAGTACCCTAAATAGTAGGATCCTCATTACAAGGACCCCAAAAGAACGTACCCCCAGTTTTCGGAAACTCCCAAACCCTAAACTCTTTACAGAACCCTTATACATCCTTTTATAGAGCCCTTTCAAGCCCAGGGCTCTTCCAGCGCGAAGCGCAGGTATTGTTCCAGGACCTCTTTGGACTTGTACTCGGGCAGATCCTGGACCAGAACCAGGCTTCTTAGGGTTGATGAGATAAATGGGAGTTTCCGAAAATTAGGGGGGTACCTTAGTTTGGGGTTCTTATAGTTAGGGTACTATGTTAGGGTCCCCTACTTTCGGAAACTCCCAAATCCTGCATTACCCATGATAAGGAATGTACCATTAATTCGGGTCCTTAAGGCAATGCAGGAGTTGTATCATCGGCAGTAGTTAGGGCTCAGAGTTTGGGGTTGGGTTGGGGCTTAGCATTTTTGACACTCAAACCTGGGCAAATCCAGGCAAGGTCTGCAGGTTTAGCATTCCAGCACTCACACTCGGACAAGCCTGGGCAAGGGTTCCTGGTTTAGCACTTGGGGTTTAGGGTTAGGGGGACTGGAGAGCGATAGGGTTTCGACTCGTACACTCGCTCGCGGCAGGCACGGCTTCGCAGTGACGGTCCCACGATTGCTACTGTAGGAGTGTCCGGCGACATACAAGCGAGGTCACAAGCTAGTACCCGAAAGTCAAGTAATTTTTTGCATCAGGACTTGTGAAATCGCCCTAGCGACCTAGCACCATAAACCACCATAGAAAGAAGGCTGCAGGAACACTCATACATGTAGGCGCAGGAACCGTCTTCGCGACCAGAGACTAGACTAGGTCACGCACATCAGACATGGCATTAGGAACCCACACTATGCGAAAAGATGTGCCCCCAACCTCTCGAGACGGTCGTACATGCTACCTGCGCCCATTGGGCCTTACTGAAGTGCAGCGCATATGTGCGACGACTGTTTCAAAACCATGAGTCACAGGGTTTGGTGTGGTTTCGCTCGCTTCATATCGATGAAACGCTGACTAAACCCTGAGCCTGCGACCTCTTTGTTGAATTCGTGCTGACATTCCTTCGAGACCCCGGACCCCGCAAACCCTACACTCCGGTAGATACGCGTCATGATATCTGCTATCCGTTCAACAAAAAGATCAACACCCCCCGATCTTCGCCGAAGCCCCAAGCCCTGAAGCGTTAAGCCCTAAAGCTTCAGTTAACCCAAACTCCCTGGTTTACCCGAAGGCCTAACCACGCCGTATGCAGTTCCCGAAAACCCTGACCCTTCAGCCCTAGACCCCGAATCCCAAAACGCTAAGCCACCACAAGCGCCCCCCGGACCGAAAACCGAACCCACAACCCGAAGCCTTAAATCCTAAACCCCCAGACCCCAAACCCTCAACCCCTAAATGAGTGGTTGTCAATCTTAGGGTTCTAATATAGTACGGCACCTATCATTTAAGGTACCCAAAAAAGGATCATAACTTTGACAACCACCCTAATAAATCCTAGGCTGAATTCAGCCCCTACAGGTCCAGGGTATTGGCACAGGTGTGCGCAGCAGGGTAGCGATCCGTACAACCCACTCTCCTGGGATGACGGGGGGGGTCATAAGGCTTTCCCAGACATATAGAAGCGTTTCATAAGGGGCTGTTAGGGTGTTACAGGGTTTGCTAGGTGATGAGACAAAATTTGAAGGATGTGTACGGGCGTTTCATAAAGGTTAACCAAAAAGGCTTCGTAGGCTACTGTAAGGGTTCAAGAGTCCAGTGTCGAGGGCAGTCTGGGTTTAGTGCCTGAAGCATTTAAAGGCTTGCAGCTTCTCTGCATCAGGATTCACAGAGGGGGCTCTTGAAAGGCGTCCCTTTACGGGCTACTGCCTTGTCGGGTAATGTCAATTCCCTTCACCGAACCTGGAACCCGTTTCGGCTTTGGAGATAAGGTTTCGACGCTCACACTCGGACAAAACAGGCGAGGCATGTGGTTCGAAGTCTGAGTTGATGTGACACAGTCTGGCAGGAGCCCTGGCCACTGACAACCAGGGGATAGGGTTTAGTAGGTGATAGAGGGCTCAAACAGCCTGAGGGCTCTACACACTTGTAATTCGGTTTTTCCCACCTGCCAAGCTGACAAAGTCGCACCGCAGGGAGCTCGTCCGAAACTAGTCACAGGTTTGCAAGTCCCAGGTCTGTTGAGGGAGGCTGAGTTTCAACCAGGGTTCAGGGTTTGCGGGACTTGTACTTACTGACAGCCAACTAGCTCCCAGTTTCCAAATCCTGAACCCGGGAAACCAAACATCCCAAACCGAAGCTTTTAAGCCCACCTCAGGGAATCCAAAGCCCCTAGACAACAGGGAAGAACAAAAGTAGTGGGCTCCTTGCAGCCCGTTATCACCGAAGACCCTGTTCTGAGCCGGGACTGCAATGCACTACAGAAGCCATAATGCGGAAGAGCCATGCCCTGACTTCTAAACCCGAAATCATAAATTCCGAGTCCTTGTAAAGCTATAAAACCCTAAGCCCTGATCCCTCATCCTGTCGTCCTAAGCCCCAATCCTTAAGCTCTAAGCCCTCAAACGCTACACCTTACTCTCCGAATCCTTAAGGCCTTACTTAAGGCCTATGCAATCCTAAGCCCGAAGCCCGCAACCGGGCCGAAGCCGCTGGATGGTAAAGAGCTCCGGCTGCAGGAATCGGAAGCCTCCTGAGGGCACCTGCTGTCTCAAAGTTTGGGGCTTGGGCTTTAGTTTAGGGTTGAGGGTTTTGGATTGTATAGGGTTTCGACGCTCACCCTCGCTTCCGTCCGCTAGCTCACTCACATCCGGAATCCACAATGGTGGAAGGCAGTTTTGCTCTCACATCCGGTATGCCACCAGCTTTCCAGGGATTAGGGTTTAAGGCTTGGGGCTTGGCTTCGAGGGTTTATGTTCATTGTTCACTTCCGAGGGCTTCTCGGGTTTAGGGTTTGAACAGATAGCCAATGTTGCTTGGAAAACCAATAAACATCGCTACCCAGACCCCCGGGATGATCCAAAAAGTCGATCCCTTAATGAGGGTTCCTATAAAGTACCCTTAGTAGTACAGGGCCCCAAATTAAGGGATCTACTTTCTAGATCCTCCCGGGGGTCTGGGTAGACGCGGGGACGGATTTTTGTGTCCGTTGAGAACCCGGACCCAGCGATCCATGCGAGGCGTCCGAGGAGCATGTGAGGCGGTCGGGACCCTAAGCCCTACTTGAAGGATCATGGGGCTTAGCAACTAGGGTTATGATTACAGTAACCATACTTATAACCACTTATAACCCCAATTAGGGTACTTATAACCTAACTTACTAAGTCCCCTGATCCTCCAAGTAAACCCTCTACCATAGAACGGCTGTGATTTGCAGCACCCCTTCTATTACAAACCCCTGATAATAAGCCGTATGATAACAGCACCCCCTTATGTACCCCATGTAATACTCCTTGAAGTAGTCACAACAGTAGTATTCCTTATGAACCCCTTACAAAGTCGCCTTTCAAGTGCCCCTCAAAGTTACCACTTTTTGAACCCAGACTCTGCTGATCAGCTGGGAAGCAGCAACCCTAAACCCTTTTCGAACCCGGGCTCTAAACCTCAAACCCTCACAACCCTAAACCCCTAAACCCCCTAAACCCTCTAAACCCTCTAAACCCCTAAACCCCTAAACCCCCTGAAGGCCCCTAAACCCCAAAACCCCTAAAGGCCCCTAAAGCCCTGAACCCCCCGTTGCTCGGAGCTCCTGGGAGCTGCCCGTGGAGAAGGAGAGCAGGCAGGCGCGCATCTCCGCGGGCATCTCCCGCACGGCCTCCCAGAACCACCTCACTGCCTGGAAGGTGGGGCTCTGAGGGAAGGCTTGGGGGATTTTCGGGGGCTTGGCGGGTTTTTAGGGCTTCGGGATTTCAGGTTCGAGGGATTTTGCGCGGTTTTTTGAAGCTTTGGTGACTCTCGATTGTAGGGGGGGGGTCGGATTTCGGAGTGCAGTTGTCATCTTGAAACACTGCCTGGGTCGAAGAAGTGGGTTTTGGGGTCTTCTAGGGTTCCAGGGTTTGGATTGAAGTGGGGGCGGGCTTAGAATTTTCGTCTTCAACCGCAATCATAAAGCGGACGGCAAGGCCTAGGATAGGAAGGAGCAGACGTCCAAAACGAATGCCACCAAAACAAGTCGCAGGAATGCGATCAACACTTTTAGAGTGATTACCAACATAAAGATTGCAATGGGAGTGCTGAAACCAGCGGCGGCAGGAAAACGAGCGACAATAGAGGCTATCATGAAACATGGCCATCACCATCACCCTCACCACCACAGTCGCCGTTGTCACCAGCATCTTGTTTTGGCCATGCCAGAAACCACACCAGACAATATCATACTTTCATCATCAGCAACAGCACTGTCAAAATCGCAACACTGACAAACAGCATGAGAATTTAACATCAACCCCATCATAGCAACTGCCAGCGGCAGGAACAATGACCAAAAAACATTGTAGCCAAAGCAACACAATAACTACGAAAACTGTACTACTTTCACTACAAAACGAGGCCAAGACCCAAACCCATGCCCCTCCAAAGGGGAAAGGCCTGAGAGTCCTTGGTGTAGCCGTTTTCGTACCTAAGCTTGGCCGCGGCACGAGCTTTGGGACATTTTGAAGCGCGCGCCTGGAAGGGAACCCTTCAAAATAAGGGCACCCACGATCCTTCTGTTCAGTTTTCATACGGAGGCCGCAGAATAAAAACAGAGCATAGGGGCAATAAGGGTTTTATAAAGGGCATATACGGGCTACTGCAAGAGGGTAATTCTCTCACTGCCAATGATGCTGCTGAGCGTCTGGATTTGGATGGCATGCTTGAGCAATTCAGGCATCTGTGCATATCCCTAGCCAAAACCCCACCTAGGCTTAATACGCCCTAAAGGTCCTACACCATCCTGTAGACTCAGTTCCTGAGTTCATAAGCCCAGAATTGTGCACTTTCAGTTGTAAGATGCGGATATTATCATCGGAGTAAAGGGTAATCATTCAGCTACTTACTAAGTAGAAGTAATTTACACATAGCACCACAACTACCGACTTGCTGCGTCCTACGCAGCCCTACGCAACCCTAAACCCCAAACCCTCCAAACCCCAAATACATCCGAAAAGGGGAAACCCGAACCCTAAACCCCTATGTCGAAACCCATGCGAAACCCTTAAACCCTAAAAGCCACAACCAAGCCCCATGATGCCTCAAGCGCAGTCTGAAGCTCCGCCATATGCTCGTCTTCGGGTCGCGGGGCTTTCGCGATCGTAAGCTCGAGCAAGGCGACCGGTTTGCTATCCGGGAAAACCGGTAAACATACTATACTATTATACTATGTTGCATTATATTGTTATGCTGTCGTAAGATCGAAAGGCACCACTGGGAACGAGATTAATCATAATCCAACAGGGACGGCTGGGCGGACCGTTCCGCATTGCCTTCGCAGACTCGCCGTCCGAAGGTCGGCTCACACGGTCTCCTGGCGGCATGCCGCAACATCCAGAATGACGAAACCTCTGCACTAGCCACCCGTTGCTGAGGGCGCAAGCCGTCGAAAGCCGGCGACGTTCAAAACTGACAGGGACAAGAAATTAGCTTCCGCTGCACGTTTCAAGTATGGTTTCAGCATGCGGCGAACCTCGCAGATCACGGCGACGTGGTGGTAGGATATGGTAGGAATTTAAATGTCTTTGCTTCCTGTTCACTTTCGCCCAGGAGGACGTCCTCCTCCGCACCAAAATCGAGGATGGAAGGTGCCTTCTCACCTGCTGGGTCTGTGGCACTCGAAGGTGTTCCCAAGGCGAAGAGGGCCGCGTCCAGAACAGTCTCTTGTTTGGAATTTTGCAATGAGAGGTGTCCTCCCTCCCGGTTTCCATTGGTGCGGCACACCGGTGCCGGTGGTGTTGCCGGCGCTCTTCGACTGGCGCCGGACATGTTGGAAAAGGCGAGGGGGGCCAACAAGGGACGACTCTGCGAAGCAATGAAAGCCAGTGGCATGGAGGCATGTGTTATAGGCCATCTGACAAGGAACTGCCGGCATGTCTGGGTCAGTCTGGCTGGGTTTGCGATCAACCCAAACGGGTTCGTGTCGCAGCAGGGCCAAGCCCTGAGCCTCACAACAACATCAACAACGACCGTCAATGCTAAACTGTGCGAGTTATGAAATACTCGCTTTTCAACACTACGGGAGGCATGGTACATTCCCTGTCTCTGGGCTGGGCAACGCGACGGCATGTCCCAAGCCAGGTGTGTTCGGGATTCGGGTTGGACGTGTAGGGTTTCCCACGGACAGCAAGGGCGTGGCATGCAAGGCTGTGAACGAATAATTCTGAACCTTATTGGCTTCGACCTCTATCTATTTTCCAAAGCCCCAAACCGAAAACCCAATGCCCCTGTTTTCAGAATAGGCTTGGACTGTGTACCAGCTAACACTCCTCAACAGCCCTGAGCCCTGAACCGACAACCCCTAAGCCGTAAACCCACAACCCTCAATCCTAAACCCAATGGCTTAGGTTTAGAGTCCGGTCTTCGAGCCGTGGTGCTCAGTGTGCTTCTCCCAGTCGTCGACATCAATGCCATCGGCACCACAGAGCATCAGCTCTATCTCTTTAACCTGGTGGTGCAGCATCTTAGGGTGTACGCTCTAGCAACTCTAACCAGCCAGACCTCCCACCTTGCGGTTTCTTGGGCTGCCGCATCGCAAGTCGGCCAGAAACAAACAATGACGAAATGGGAGTTTCCGAAAATTAGGGGTACCGTATTTTGGGGTCCTTATAGTAAGGATCCTACTCTTTAAACTTTAGGGTGCTATATTGGGATCTCGTGTTTTCGGAAACTCTAAAACGGAGTAGCAAAACACCCTAAAGCCCCAACCTTCCAAACCGAACCAGCCCTGACCCGCTAACCTTCGCGTATGAAAGAACCCAATGCCCTGAAATAAGGAACCTTCGGCGCACAATACACAGGATATTGTACATTCTTAATGGAAGTGAACTGACCTTTATGAACACCAGCCGGCTTAGCAATGATGGTATTCACAACAAAGTCTCAGCGAGGAGAATTCGATGAACTGTCGTGCCCAACATCAGCGTGCTCCATCAGAAGAACCGACAGCGACACGCTCCTGTTTGGAATCTTCAGCATGGTCATTATTGCCGCAATAAGCAGGTTTGGTGAAGCATGAACAGAATTCCTACGGTTCGGTATTCCATCCATAGTGGATATGTCTTCGGAAAGTTCCTCCTGAGTTCGTTTACCTACGCTGGCATGTATCTCAGTATCTCAACACCCGCCCTTGACTTGGGCTCCTTTGGGCTTAGGACTTTGGGTTTATGCTGGCAGCTGCAGCTTAATTGTTCATGACATGCCGCCCAGTCATTGCATGCAATAGGCTGCTGTCAGCCTGCATTAAGCCAGTGCACCCTTATCGCCCTAGCTCGTGTAACCCCATAAAAACCTGTTAAACTCCTTGGGAAACCCTCTTTTTTGAAGGAATGGACTTGTTAGGAAACTCTCTTAAAACCCTTATAAACCAAATTACACCCCATGATGCCCACTTTTGAAAAATGGAGCCGCTAGGCCCAAAGGTTCATGGCTAGTTATAAGTAGGGTTATAAGTTAGGTAACTATACCTATAACTTATAGACCATATTCGGGGTCTTATATAGCAAACCCAAAAAAGTTGGAAACCGGATTAAAGACGATTAGTGCTGGGATTCCTTATACTCTAAATGATTGAGGCTATTGGGTTTCCAACTTTTGGGCTTCTACTTGTAAGCCTTCTTATAACTACCCATGAGCCTCGAAGTGTCTTCGCCTACTCTACGTAGCGGATACTCGCCAAGTGCAGCGAAGGCCGCCGTCATGATGCCAGTGATGCGCTGAACCTTTTTGGGGTTTTAGGGCTCAGGCCCAGAGACTCCCCCATATCCCTTAATTAAGGAATATCCCTTAAACTATAATAGGATCCCAAATATGATTTAGGGAACAGTCCTTAATTAAGCAATATTGGAGCCTCTGGAGGTTTCAGGGTCTAGGGAGTCTCGGGTCGGCTACTTTTTTTCGGAGGTTACGGGGTTTAGGGTTTAGGCTAGGGTTTACGGTTCTCGACACGACACCCCTGTTTCCCCGCCCTCCCCCTACCACCTCCCCGCCAGGACAAAAAACAGAACCGCAAAACCAAAACACAAAAAAAACAAAGCAGTTCTCCAAAAAACTAAAGCCCAAACACTGGACCTTAGAGCCTCAAAGCGGTGCGCTTCTTTGTAAGGCCCAGGGGCCAACTCCCTGGGCACCACCCGCAAGAGACCTCGCTGGAAGAAGTGCACCTCGGCTTAGGGTCGTTTTTACCCGCATGGCCAGGATCAATGCTCAGGCTTTAGGGTTCCGAAGGGTTGTTAGTTAGTAGAGGGCTATAGGCGGATTTATATAAAGGTTTCTATAAGGGCTCTCCACAGGTTGAATACGGTTTCCCAGGCTCCGGTCTGAGTTTTCTGTGTTGTCGGTGGTCTTGATCTTGCGCCGACTGTTATAGCCAGCTTGATGGAACTGCGCAGGGGGCTTTAAGAAGGGTTCTATGAGCACCCTGCCTGGGCTCTCTAAGATCTCTAAGAGGGTTTAAGGTTTGGAGATCTGGGGTTTAAGGTTGGGTTTGGAGATCTGGGGTTAAATGCAGAGCCCTTGATAAACAAGAGACAGGCCCGAATCCCCCTCACTATGTCCCCGTCTCGAAACGGAAAAGACGATTCAAGCAGACCATCGCAAGCAAGAAGGCCTCGTTTTACATCCCAACACCCGACAACTGTGCGAGGTTTGAAGGTTCGCCGTGGAGCAATCTTGAAAACTGCTCTTCATGATAAGTAATCTCTTCTTTCGGGCTCCTTATTCTTGGCTGACTTCTGAAACCATCCTAAAAGATAAACTTTTGTCCTCCATATTATAGTTCATCTAAAAACCCAAAAAGTTAAAGTCCTACGGGTCAACCAGAGGAACATCAAGTATTGTTATGATTGTAACATTACAACATACCCCGAGATCCCAAAACCTTCGACCCGCACCCCGGTGTCTTGCGTAGAGCACCTGCTTCGCCACACCGCTGACTAGGATTCTATCCAAGAGGAGGTGCACAAACTGCTCCTGCGTGAGGCTTCAGAGGGCTCTAAGGCTACGACTATTTGCCGTCGCAGTCACAGTCCTAGTATGGGGCAATAGTAGTAATAGTAGTAGTAGTAGTAGTAGTAGTAGTAGTAGTAGTAGTAGTAGTAGTAGTAGTGATAGTAGTAGTAGTAGTAGTAGTAGTAGTAGTAGTAGTAGTAGTAGTAGTTTTTTGTCACCCACCTAGCACGGCTATGCCAGCTCCGCGGGGCTCTATGAGAGCATCGACGACTGGAGTGCATTCAACGAATTCTGTCAGGTGTCAAGAGCGAACAAGCCTCTTTTCCGGAAACGACAGAAAACAGAAAGTTAGGGCCACGGAGTACGAGGGCTTATATCGATCCACGAACTTCGATCTGTACACCCCCTGAAGCGGTCCCGACTTTTCACGAAAACACAACAACGCAAGTTAAGGCCACGGGAGTACAGTCGGTACCGCCAGGTTGTTTTCAGGTATTACCCCTTGATTCTGGAACAGAAGCTACCGTCAACAGGGGCAAACTACCCTACCAAAAGGGTTGCAAGAGTACAAAAGTGCACATGGGTGCAAATTATAAGAAGTAGGCATTGACGACGAACATAGCAAATGTGCAAACAAGTCGCAGCCGTGCAATGTATATTCAGCTTCATAATTACTTGCAAATGCTTCGCGGGATATACACTAATTAAAGCAGCAGCTTGTGTGTGGCAGACCTGTCAGACTTTCACTCACTCACTTTCTCATCAGCCGCGCTGTTGGTAGTAGTAGTAGTAGTAGTAGTAGTAGTAGTAGTAGTAGCAGTAGTAGTAGTAGTAGTAGTAGTAGTAGTAGTAGCAGGAGTAGTAGTAGTAGTAGTAGTAGTAGTAGTAGTTGTTGTTGTTGTTGCTGTTGTTGTTGTTGTCGTCCTCTTGGTGGAGGAGGAGGAGGAGGAGGAGGAGGAGGCGGGGGGAGGACGAGGGAGGAGGAGGAGGGAGGAAGGTTGGAGGACGAGGAGACGGACGGAAGGAAGGAGGGCATCAACAAAACAAGCCAGGAACGAGAATAGCAAGAACAACAGCAACAGCAACCTTAGCAGTGGCCACTAACATCAACATCATCCTCATCAAAAGGTCATAGTCATAACCAGCCTTTTTCCCATGAGGGTCTCGAGATTTCAAGGCAACTAAAGCTTGCGGTTCCCTTTGTCACGGGCCTTCTACGACTTCAATCCCTGTACCCCTCCTGAATCCTGAACCCATTCGTTGTTTAGGGTTCAGGGGTGCCAGCCACAAGATGCTAAACCCGGGATGTCATGAAGGTCTTGTGGGGGTTGCTGAAGGAACTGGGAGTAGCCTTGGTTTCGGGCGCGCTTAGGGTTCGAAAGGTTCAGGCCTTCGCACCCCTGAGGCTAGGCTACGTCCACACCCCCTCCGGAAAACAAAAGCAAAGACGACAAATGCGGCGGTCCTTGTTGCTCTCCGTGACTTTGATGGACTCGCCGTCCTTGATGAGCGGAGTGCTCTGTACAAGCTCTTGACAGTGGGACTCCGAGACCACGAAGGTCTGCGGGAGGTGAGACTGCTCAAGGACGTCCTGCGGCTGCATTGGAGAGTTTCGGCTTTGGTATGCAGCTTTAGAGATTTAGGATCATATTGGTTTATAATGCCTCCAGACCGAAAAATTGTTGGCTTTCATGTACGTAAACAAAACCGCAACAAGGAAGGTATCTTTTGACTGATTGTTCAGATCTCTACCATGGCGCCAAAAGCTCAGAAACCCTGAAAGAAGAAACCAGAAGACCAGAAACCCCCCAATCCCAAACTTCAAGCCTTAGAGGTTCCCAAAATGGCACACGGCTAAAAATTCGAACCCGGAGACCCCAATATCCCTTAAGTAAGGAATATTCCTTAAATCAAACTAGGGACCGAACCATAATTTAAGGAATATTGCCGACTTGAAGGATCAGGGGACTTAGTAAGTTAGGTTATGAGTACCCTAGTTGGGGTTATAAGCAATTACAAGTATAGTTACCTTAATTATAACCCTAGTTAATAAGTCCCATGATCCTTCAAGTAGTTACGGGATATTGGAGTCTCTGGGAATGAAAGCAGAACCTGCCAAGTCCCAAACCCAATGTACGTCCTTGATCACCACATCCCTCTACATCCCAAAACCCCTGAACTCAACAACGCAATCTCCGCCGTATTTTGGAGGGTTTAGGCACCAGAGCCCTACTGAACCGCAAACCCCTGAACCCAACGGTAAGACCCCCTTTTGAACCCAGGTGGGCAGCAGGCATGGCAATTGCAGGCCTGTCTGGAGACTTTAACATGTAAGCAACTCTCAAAAACATCCACCCTCTGTTTGCCACTGGACTCAAATCTAGCCAGTCTACGACCCACAATCATCGACCCCCGTTTTGCATCCGGGCCCCAAGTGACAGGCAACAACAGCATCGACCCCCTAAACCCTAAGCATCCCTAAACCCTATATGAACCCCAAACCCCTAGAAAACCTAAATACCCTAAACCCTACACATCCCTAAACCCTATATAAACCCTAAACCCCTAAAAACCCTAAAAGCCCCCTAAACCCTAAACCTTCAAGACTCCTGCAAGGAGTCTCCCAAGTCCCGGTAGGAGCCGCTGAGGATGTAGGTCAGCTTGGTATGCAAGGTCTTATCCACCTGGACAGTAACATTATAAGAATAACTAAATAACAGAAATACAAATAACAACAAAAAAAACATGAAGATAGTAGTACATAACCAGAATAACAGGACTACCAATAACAAAAACAAAAATAAATAGATCCACCTCCAGAGCTTGGCGGCGTTGGGGCATTGAGGCTTTGTGGGTTAGGGTTTCGTGCCGCAGCTCAGCTTGAAACCTGGCCCTAGGCCTAGCAATGCCGGAGCCGCCAAAGAAGCCTCATAGCCCTCATGGATGTGGGAAGGAGAAACGAAGGGTAACCAGAGACTCCAATATCCCTTAATTTAGGAATGCTCCTTAATAAACTATAGTAGGATCCCGAATATGGTTTAAGGAGCATTCATTTTTATTATAGTAGGATCCCTCATGTGATTTAAAGAATATTCCTTAAAGGATTTCGGAGTCTCTGGGTACGGAGATTGGGCCGATACTGTAGCTCGGGACCAAGGTTTCAGTCAAGATCCTGAAGCCCCGGCGCGGAGAATCCCCAAAAACCCAACTCCTCCAATCCGAAACCTTAACGGTTTAGGGTGTAAGGTTTGGTTTACGTTCTCGCGTTTAGGGTGTAGGGTTTAGGGTGTAGTACTGTAGGGTTTAGGGTTTACGGTGTAGGGTTTAGGGTTGCCTTAACTACCCAGACCCCTGGGAGGATCCAAAAAGTAGATCCCTTAATGGGGGTTCCTATAAAGTACCCTTGGTAGTATAGGGCCCCAGATTAGGGGATTTACTTTCTAGATCCTTGCGGGGTTTGGATAACCGGGTTCCCCTGTTAGCTGAACCCGAAACCCGAACAAACCGGTGTTTCAGCTATAATAACAGAGGGCGGTGTGGGGTGAAACTGGATCCTGACCTCCCAGTTACCTAAAGCTTAGGAACTGCCCCCATACAGTAAGAATCTATAACAGGGCTACTATTTAAGGTCCTAATATATCTATATTATGACTATTATTCAACTGGGGGCCGTACCGAACATATAAGGTCCTAATATATCTATACTATGAATATTATTCAACTATTACTGAGTGGGGGCCGTACCCAACATAAAGCTGTACAACCCGAGGCCAACCAGCTCCAAGAGGGGGAGGAGGTCGTCGGTATCCGTCTTCAATCCAAACCTTGGTTTAGGATTTAGGGCTTTTTTTCAGGGTTTAGGATTTAGGGTTAGGGTTTACGGTTTTTCGGTTTGAGGCTCGGGGTTTTGGGTCGCTTTCACTTGAACGGCTTCTGTCCTAGACTACCCTAAGCCGAAGACCCACGAGTGCATGAAACCCTGAAGTACCCTAGACCTTGGGGACCCTATACCGCCTATACCCGCTCGAACAACGACCCTAAGACCCTGAAGTGCGTGAAGCCTGAAGTAGCCTAACTCACAGCTACTCCAAAACCGAAATGCTTAGCAACTCTTCGGGGTGTGTCGCCGAGGGCTGCCATGCACGTCTTGATCTAGCAACAAAGGGCAGCATCTTCCTACCAAAAGGAGACACCGGAAAAAGGCATAGCGGTACGATGTGGGGGACCTGCTCAGGGCACTTTGTCGCCGAATTCGCGAAAAGCGGCTCCTGATTTTTGAAGGATTTCCGGAGCATGGGTTAGGCCAGAGCATCTACGAACCGCCCTTTTGCACAGACTTCCTTATGCCCACCTGGGTCTCAGAGCTGCTGCACTCGTGGCAGGAACCCGAAGCATCTGAAGCAACTGAAGTTCGGCAGCCCTAAAACCCGAAATGCTCGGCAGAGGTTCAGGAACCTTTACATCTGCACTTATGGTACTGGAGGTTAACCTTATTTGGTTGTCTAGGGACTATACTACCCAAAAGAAGTTAAACGTTACCTACTCTACTACTATCAATTTACCTCTGATCTCATGGTAGCTGGCAACGTCTGGGTGGGAAGTTCCGAAGGTTCTCAAGACTGGCCAAGACACACCGAGCGCAGGAAGTTGTGCCCAAAGTGCACCGGTATGGTCTCCTGGCTTCAGGATTTTTGGGCTTCGGCCTTTCAGGCCTTAACGTTGAAGGGCTTCAGGGCTTAACGTTTAAGGTTTCGGGTCTTAGGGCTTTAGGGTTTAAGGTTTCCGGTCGTCGGGTTTCAGGATTGAAGTTTAGGGCTTTAGGGTTTTTAGGATTTCGGGCTTTCGGGTTTTATGGTTTTAGGCTTTAGGGTGTAGCGTTTAGGGGGTTGGGTCTGAGGATTGGGGTTTTGGGCTTGGGATTTCGGCGCTCACACGGGGACAAGCCAGGCGAGGTTTAAGACTCTCTGGGGCTTTTCCAGGCTTCAGGGCTTTGGGGTTGTACTTGGGGTTTGGGGTGTGGCTTGTCGGGTTGAGGGTTTAGGTTGCTTGAAGTTCAGAAGTGCACGGCGAAGGCGACTTCACAACCCGATTTAACCGACGAGTTCGAGAAGGGCCATATCCTACGCCGTGCAAACACCTATATGAATCGTCAGGATTCTCCATCAAACCGCAACAGAAGGCTTCGCTTCCCAGGCAACGTCAGACTTGTGTGGTGTCGGATCCTTGGCTGTACTATCTCCTGTCAGTGCTTTGGGTACAGCCCCATACAGTAAGAGTTTATAAGAGGGCGACTATTAAGGTCCTAAGATATCTATACTATGAATAGTATTCAGTGCTCGAAAAATCATGAAACCCCTAAACACCCACAAAATCAGCCCCCAAACCCCAAGACCTGATCTAAATCCTTTTAGACCCCAGGCTCTCTCTCTCTCTCTCTCTCTCTCTCTCTCTCTCTCTCTCTCTCCCAGGTATTCGAAACGCGGGTCTCTCCAAAGCCCCAAACCCCAAAGGAACCAAATTGTAACCAACCCGGAATCCTAAACCCAACGGCCGTTTAGCTCCTTGTCGTATGCTCTGGTAGGATATCGGTATACTAAGCAACCCATAGGGATACCTGTTACTAAATACTGTAAACCCTGCATTACCCATCATAAGCAATATCCCATTTTTTCCCATGGCTTGGGTTTTTTGAAGAATTGCAGGATTTATCTCATCAACCGTAGGGCTTCTGTCCGCTCCTTGTGGAGGATCGCAAAGCCGATGACGCAACCGAAGAGCTCGAACTGCTCCGTCCAGTCTTCCTCGTCAAAGTCCAGAGTTTAGGGGTTTAGGGTTCAGGGTTTAGGGGTTTAGGGTTTAGGGTTCAGGGTTTAGAGTTTAGAAAGTCCAGAGAGCCCCGGACAGTCTTGGAGGCTTCAACTGAGGGATTAGGGTTTAGGGTGCAGAGTGTGGGTTTAAGACAGGTTTTGTTTTTCCCACCCGCCCAGCTGACAAAGTCGCACCGCAGGGAGCTCGTTCGGAAACCTAAAGAGACTGCGTAGTGTCCATCCGTAGGCAAGCCCCGAGTCAAACAAGGAGGTAGACAAGGATGAACATTAAACAAACAAACGACGATAAACGAGGGGAGCCATAGCTAGAGCAAACCTCCTTGCGTAAGTCGAGCTCGCACGCACTGCCCCGACAAAGACATGCCCGTACTGGCACTACATACAAGAACCACAAGGGAAACAGACAAGTGTCTTTATCGGAGCCGGGGAAGAATTCCCGCTATGTACATCTACAACTATGGGGCGGGCCCCAGGTCCCCACCTAGTCCGGAGGAAAGACACGCCAACAACAAGTGTCACCCATAGCAGTGCCGGACTGGCTGACGAGCCGAGCCTGCCATACCAACTACCTGACGTCTGCAGCGCATCCAGAACATACCCTTGAGGATTAAGAAGACAGGATTGATGCTGCAGTCATCAGGATCAGGTTTTGTTTAGGGTTAAGGGTTTAGACTTGCTCCAAAGCGAGAAAAAAGATCTTTAGAACTTGGTGATACCGACAATAATGAACACAAGCATTCTTTGCCACAACAAAAAACTGCCAGGCAGATGGCTACCCCTCGAAATGCTCGACTGCAGAGCTTAGATAGGGCTTGGAGCCTGCAGAAATCACGACCATGCATCCTAAACCCGATGCTAATGTAGAGGCCTAAATAATCACCAGACTATTTATTCTCATTATAGTATGATAGACCCCAAACCCTATTCCAATTGTCAAGGCCCCTATATTAAGCCCTCAAAGCGTTGAAGTCCGTCCTGTACACACTGGCACACGTTGTCCGGCGAGGGCACGACGATCCTTCCCCGAGAAAGGGGGCCGCGGTGCCAGTCGTTGCTCATCTCAAGGTGAGCGGCATCCTGAAGAAATCCATGGGCTTCGGGCTGTAGGGATTGTGGGCTTGGGGTCTCTGAGTTTACGGCTCAAGAAATTTATGTTTGGTGGCGCTGAAAGGTTTAGGATGTTTGGGCCCGGGACACAGACGGAAAGTCCCTCTCACCTCCAGGACACCTGTTTCAGCATTTGCTTGGATTGTGTGCCAGCGAACACTCCTCAACATTTGGCCTTCCCGTTTAACGAGGGGCAGAAACACAAGAACGAAGCAAGTATCGGCAATCTTCAGAACTACACATCTTACGTCGGACAGCGCAGACACTCGTGAAGGACACCTAGAACATACACATTCTAGTCTCCCTACCGCTGATACCCTTGGTAGATCTTTACGTAATACCTTCTAGAAACGAAACACACCAATTCCCCTCCCCCACGTCCTTCCACGCCAAACGCCACACACGCACGCACACACACACACACACAAAACAAAAAAAAGACAAAACTGCAACCCAAAGACTGCAAGAAGGACCGCCTGATCGAATAAATGCCCTTCGGACATCTGATGTCAATATCAAGATGGTGGCAATGCCGGGCATTGATGTTGTCACAATGACAAAGCATCATGTGTGTGTGCGTGTGTGTGTGTGTGTGTGTGTCTGTCTCTCTCGATAATATACATGCATGCATGTGTTTACATATACATATAAACACAGATGTATCGATATCTTCTTCCTGAGAACACAATACAAGCATAGTCAGCAACCCGTATCTCTGCAGAGAGCTTTAACTTGTTCAAGGGTTTAGTGCGTTAGAGGAACAAGCAACCGGTACCTCTATCTACAGCAAGATCTTGTGGCTCCCATAAGCCCCAAACCCTCTCTCTCTGTCACTCACTCTCTCACTCACTCTCTCTCTCTCTCTTTCTCTCTCTCTCACAAACCCCCAAAAACTATACCCTAAACCCACCCTCCAAAAAAATGCGCAACCTTAAGCATCCATCACACCTTCTCCCACAAATCAAGTTGTCATGGACCTCCAACACAGCCTTTTGGGCAAATCATGGTGCGAACGTCAAGGCACCCTAATACATAGTATGGGTAAATATTCGAGCTCCCATGTATCAGACCCGCCTTTCCCCTGACAGTCGCTACATTCACTTTACCATACTAATACTACTATCCCCTGGTAGTAGTATACCCAAGGGCCTCAGATGGGGACATGAATAGGTCCGAAGCGATGAAGTAGCGGCAGGCTCTGTCCATCCATTGCCTCTTCACGGGTTTAAGGTTTGGGGCTCCGTTTAGAGCTTTCGGGTCGAAGCTTTTTGGGGATCAGACGTTTGTGGTTTCGGGTTCAGTGAGTTTGGGGCGCTGAGCACTGCACCCTGGGAGAAAAGGGCCTTGATGACGAATGGCCCCCAAGGAAGCTTTTATTGAATTTACAGAAACCATGACAGGAACCCTTCTTGCGTTTTGCACCTTTTTTTGAGGGTGGTGCCGGGTAGTGCTTGGTACCACAGGAACCCTAAATCCTAAACCCCAGAAGGACGGCAGGTAATGGCCCGCTGCCTCCTGGGCCCTCCCTGGTCTTCACCTGAGGTCTGAGGCTTGGGACTTTAGGGTTTCGACTCGCACACTCGCTCTCGCAGGCACGGCTTCAAGGTCTCCACTGCTAAGGGTTTAGGAGGTTTAGGGTTTAGGGTTTAGGGTTTAGGGTTTTGGGTTTAGGGTTTAGGGTTTAGGGTTTTGGCTTAAGATGTAGCGTTTACGCTCTCGCAACTCGGACACAGCCACGCGAGGTTCTTGGTTCGCAACAAGCTAGGACGGATCACTCGAGTCCGCTTTGATTCATGTAGGGTTTAGGGTTTAGGCTGTTATGGCTTCTGGGTTGAAGCGCTTATGGTTTGAGGTTTTAGGTCTTCTGATATGAATTAATGTCTTGGGCTTAGATGGCTTAGGGAGGGGCTACGGCTTAAAGGCATGGGACATAAGCTTGCTGCAAGGATGGATAGGAAAGGCTGTGTAAGCCGTTGTCGGGCCTGCACATAATTTTGCCATGATCCTACTTGGGGTTAGAAGTAAAGTTACCCGATGTATAACCCTACTTATAACTACCCATGAACCTCCAAGCATTTACCGGCCTATCCAATCTTTTGATGCTAACACTCGGACAATGCCAGGCAAGGTTTGAAGACGAAACTAGAAACCAGGACCGCCTACTGACCCTTGATTAATTACAAAATGTATCTTTAGGGATCCTATCATAATTCATGTATATTCAATAATTAAAGGATATTGGAAGCTCTGGATACCGGGACAGCTGGCAAGTGTCGGTACTATACCTGTTCGATTTAGTGCCGTCGACTCACACATGTTTGCCGGAGTGGCGGAGTTTTGGATCTGGGTTTTACGGGGGTTGGGTGTCGGTGGCTGGTGACTATACTAGGACTATATTATTGGAACGCTAAAGGCTAGCATGACGAAATATGTGCTGCGTCCAGGCCTGTTTAAACTGCCGGGTATGCTGATGAAACTGACGAGCAGCTGCACAATTGCAGGCACACCAGTAAGCTTTCGAAAAGAAAGTCTGCTGTGTCAAAAACGTGCAGGTACGTTTCAACTAACAACCGCGGTCATGAATCTCCTGACGCACGCATATCTTTAAAACGTAGTCGTAATCTTCCAGCAGCAACCGGCAGACTTGGAACACTTGCTCACACATTCTTCTTTAGCAACTGCAAACCCCAAACCCGGCCCCAAACCCAACAATACTAATTACTACTACTGCTCTCACGCATTACTATTACTATTACTATTGCTGTTACTATTACTATTACTGTTACTATTACTACTACCGTTACTATAGCTATTGCTATTACTTGTACTACTACTACTACTACTACTACTACTACTACTACTACTACTACTACTACTACTACTACTACTACTACTACTACTACTACTGCTACTGCTACTGCTCTGCTACTGCTACTGCTACTGCTACTGCTACTGCTACTGCTACTGCTACTGCTACTGCTACTGCTACTGCTACTGCTACTCCTACTGCTACTGCTACTGCTACTGCTACTGCTACTGCTACTGCTACTGCTACTGCTACTGCTACTGCTACTGCTACTGCTACTACTACTCCTCCTGCTGCTGCTTCTACAACCACCACCACCACCACCACGACCACCACCACCACCACCACCACTATAACTACTACCATTAGTATTCCACGTACGCGTAAGAAGCAATGTTCAAGAAGCCCCCGCTTCATAGTACGGCTTCGAAGAGAGATCCCTGTGTCCGAATGCACCCGAAAAACGAAAAACAGCTGTGGCTCAGGGTTCTGGATGATTGGATTTGGGGGTTGGTTAGACTAATCTTGGTGGCTTCATAATTAGGGTTTGAACCTAGTTAAGGTATGCTGAGAATGAGAGCCCTCCGGAATAACATTGGTAAGTGTTCAAGCTTCTATATCGGACTAGGTCGTAAACATTTCAGGGAACCCTCGAAACACTGATGATAGTTCCTCAAGCAATACAACAATAACAACCCGCCAGAAGATGTCTTACAGATGTATTTTTGCGGATCCTCGAGGGGCCCACATCGAAACCCTGCACCCGGGGTGCTTTTCACAGGGTTGTGTTCAAAGCGTGATAAATTCTTCTGTAAGGTTCTGGTCGTGGGGCCTTCTTGATTGATAGGATTGTTGATCGGGTTCTTCAGGAGTGCTTGGAGGGGCAGGGGACTTAGTAAGTAGGTTATGGGTAGAGTTATAAGTACCCTAAATTAGGCTTACAAAGTCCCCTGCCCCTCCAAGTAAGGTCCATAGAAGTCAAGCGACCATCTTCCACCAGCTCATTTCCTAGCCAGGGTGGGGTTTGGGGATTAAGTGAGAACTTTTAGCTTCCCAGACCACCGGGAGGAAAGTAGATCCCCTAATTTGGGGCCCGATACCACGAAGGGTACTTTATAGGAACCCCCTGTAAAGGATCTACTTTTTGGATCCTCCCGGGGGTTTGTTCGGGTTAGGGGGTTAGTCCTGGGCTTTGAATGAGTAGCGTCGGGTTCCAGGTTTTGAGATTTAGACACCTGATGAATGCGCCCCTCGCGGAACAAGGATGCTACACAGTACAAAAAGCCGAATATTCGTGCCCATAAACGAAGTCAATTCAACCATGAGGTGTCTATTGCATGATAAACCCGTGTAACCCTTGAAAGGCCATACGAAGCCCTACAAAGGAAAAACTTACACAACCCTGCACAACAGCACGAAGACCCTGCCAAGCCCTATCAGTTACTCGGAGAGCCGAGCCCTGTGGACACGCTAAGTCAGGAAATTTTAAGGGTTCGGGGTTTAAGGTGTGACGGGTTCTTTGATACTTTAGGGCCGCTTTGGCACTCCCAGGCCAGGCCGTTCGGGGTTTACATAGGGTGTCCCGGCTTTAGGGATTGGGACTGCTAGTTTTGTGTTAAACGATCCTTTTGTTGAGGGCTTGCGGATTCCACTCTTGAGGTTTTAAGTGTCAGGATTCAAGTTGGCTTTGACATGGTTGTGATGTTGCAGCATGGTGTAAGGTGCTTTGTTGAAAGGGGGGGGGTTACTGCAGGGATCATTTTACTTTAACGATGATCAGAATAAGGTGTTTCGGTAAAACCGCACGGTGCTATAGCTCTAAAACAAACTACCAGCTGATCCATGAAGCAATTACAGGGCGGTGAGCGACAAACATCTGAACAAAGGAGGGCGAACTTGACACTCTAGTATAGCATTCCTGAGGGTTCCTTGATATCAGTGTACAACCCGAGAATGAGTAATCAGACTGGAAATCAGAGTAGTGTTGAATTAAGAGATCTTACAGCAGGAATTGCAATTCTAGGGCCTAGGGTTGAGACTTTGGGGCTTTTGATGGTGATGTGAAGGGTGGTGAAGTTCGTGACGGCGAGGCGGGATGGTTTCCATCATGAGGCTCGGGCTTGAATCACTGCCACTATCAGCCAGCGGAAACCCTCAAGCTTTCTGAAACCTTACACCCCGCCCTGCCCACCTGTGTCGTCGGAGTATCCCGCTCGGAACTCGATCTCCAGGGGGGCGTCGATGCGGGCTTGTGCATCCTGGCGGAGTTGGGATGGGCTCTTAGGGTTCGGGGTGTAGAGTTTCGGCACTCACACTCGGACAACCCAGTTTAGAGTTTAGGGTTTATGCGCCCACACTCGGACTCGCAAGGTGAGGGCTCTCGGTTTTCAAGGGTTTATTGTTTAGGTTGTTTAGGGTTGTTTAGAGTTTAGGGGCCCTGGGTTTCTATTGAAATGGCTTGTAAGCCGGAAGCCTATCCAACTTTGGCTCCGGGATGTGCAACTCCAGGCCTCACCTCCCCAAAAAGCTCGAAACCTACGGTTTCGGCGCTCACACTCGGGCAATCCAGGCGAGGCATGTGGTTTGAGGTCTGTTGAGTGAGACTTCATTGTGAAGGAATGCTGCTGCAACACATACAGGAGCAATTCAACAAGCAAACTGAGGCTACTCGCATCCCCTCCCTAAGATGAATGTGAAGGCACCGGCTAAGAGGCCTAGCGTTGACTTTGGATTGTAGGCTTAGGGTTTATATTTATGGTTTCGGAATTAGGGACATGTGTAACCCTGGAACCCCAAAAGCCACTCTCCCCCAAGACCCTTCAAGAACCGCAACACAAACTCGAGAACGTTTTTAAACCTTTCGTTTAATTGTTAAAACCCGAAACTCTAAACCTCCACCCTAGACCCTCAAACCCTGAAAAACCCTCAACATTAAGCCCTAGACGGTTCTGAAACGTGAAACGGCCTGCAGGTTAAGCGTGGAGCAGACCCCATCCAGAACCTCAGTGCGCTTTTGTCGGGCTTGCCTCGGAAACCTACAGAAACCCGACAGAGCTGCATGAGACCTGATATGGAAGTTTCCGAATACAGGGGATCCTAACACAGTACCCAAAATAGTACGATCCTAATATTGGACCCCCAAAGAAAGGTACCCCAAATTTTCGGAAACCCCCATATGACACCCTCAAAAATACCCTTAAGAAGCTAACATATCCTTGTGTGGTACCTGTTAAATTAAAAAAAGCAAAAATGAAAATAAAAACAAAACTAAGCCCAGGACGTTGTCCCGTGGAACCACGATGCGGATGGGCTCACCGGCGCCCTGATGATGAGGAATTTGCGGGTGTTGGGTTTTGTTGTTGCGGGAGCATGGTGTCGTTTCTGGCTTCTTCTGCTTTTTTGTGACGCTCACTCTCGGACAAGCCTGGCAGGGTTCGGGGTGCTAGGCTTTCTGCTAGTAGCTTTGTGGCTTCGTTTGTTCAGGGCCTAAGGCTTTCCCCGTTGAGGGCTCTGGGGCTGAAAGTTCTTGAAGGCGCTGAGGTCTTCTTTAGGGCTCAGACGATTAGGAATTGAGGTTTCAGGCCTATACCGGGGCCCTGAATCCTTAACCCTAAACCCCAACACCCCCCAAAGCAAGAAGTTCGGCTTCAGGGTGGAAGGATTGACGGTCTCAACGGAAGGCTTCGGATGCAGGGGTTGTTCGTGCTTCGGTAGACAGCCACAGAAAGTAAAACAGTGACCCCAAAGATATTCAGCATACAAGGGCCGAACAGTTTCCGGATCCCCCGCAATCCAGAAATCCCCAAAAACATAACCCCCACAATCCCTGAATCCCCCCAAAATCATAACCGCCAGAATCCTTCAACAGCCCAAAAGGCCCCAGTGCAGATCTCTGATCCATAACGAATTTCCTTGTTGGAAACGGAAAATCTTCAGCCCACTTGTGATTGAGGTTAATCAAAGGTTCACATGGAATTTAAACGCGGAGAAGCCCTTGAAGCCCTAAACCGTTAACCCTAAACCCTGAAAGCCCGAAGCTCTGCACTTTCTCTCAAGTCGGGGACCGCTCCGGCGGGCCTGTGTCAGACGAACGCGATCGCACTGCGCATGGATCATCGCCCGCTTCGTGGTGAAGTCCAGGAGACAAGGGTAAAAAGACACCTGGACATTCGGTGCAAAGGGGGCTTCCTCTGGCAGAGCCACAAGTAGGCCAGCAGGCAGACGAAAGATAGAAGCGTTTATGACTGTTTGTATAACGCATCATAACGTGCGCTGGGACTGCTTTTGCTTACCTTTGGGTAGTAGGGAATGGAAGAATGGTAGTAATAATTCTTATCATTGTACCCCATTCCTCCATTCCCTACTAATCAAAAGTAAGTTTAGTTACCCATCATGAACCTGAAGTCTGATCCCGCACCCAGATTAAAAGACCCTTCTTTTGCTTTACAGGCCTGAATCCTAGAATCAATCTGCTAATCTTCATCATGGAATGTTTGTTAATGAAGGGTTTCGGGTTTGAGGAAACAGCGTCCCAAGTGCTTCAAGAGCAAAGGTTCAAGGCCTGGGAGAAAGGCTTTAGGGAACAGCGTCGCGGTTAGCACATGCAAGAGATTCCCAGCAAAATAAGGGTTTTGAGCTTGGAGCCTGGAGCGGCAACTCTAATCCACTATCCTCACAGATACCAATGGCCGTGGAGGAAATAGACACTTGTCTCGCTGTTCTCTTAAATGGTATTCACGAGACTCGTAGATCCCTTAGTCAAGGAACTGGTCTATAGCAAGGACCCTCGATGGAATTCAAAGCGTGTGACATGATACAGTAACCTTCCTTGGAAGCCACGCTGAGTGTGCGTTCGGCAAGAAACGGATACCTATAAACAATCGACTGCTACAGCAAGCAATCCGGGTAACTAAAGCTCGGGGCAGTGATTGAAGATGCAGCTTTGGTGACCAGAGCTCGGGCGACCCTGGCCCATGAACGCAACGAGCACTCGGCGCTCCCTGCGGGCTTGAACCCCAAAGCCGAAGAGCTCTGCACTTGCCAAAGGCACCAAACCCTCACAGCTTCTGGAGGAGACGCCCCGACACAGGAAGTTACCCTGATTCAGTCCCAAAGTAAACTACTTTCCGAAGTCGGATCCCCTAAACCCTAAACCCCTAGTGCGAGGCGGTGCCTCTTCAAGCAGCTCGATGGCAAAGGTGGCGGCATCGTCTTGGAGGACAGAGTTCATCACGATCCTCGACTTTTAGGGTATAGGGTTTAAGGTTTCGACTCGCACACTCGCTCGAGGCAGGCACGGCTTCCTGAGGTCTCCTTTTAGGGTTTAGGGTAGAGGGATTCAAGAAAAGCTTACAAGAGTTTCATCGCGGATCTAGGGCTTAGGGGTAAGGGTTCAGGATCTAGTGCAAAAATCCTTCAAGCCTCAATGAACAAAAATCGAAATCCCAAACTCAATCCTTTTTTGAAGTGGGGCTGCACGCAACCTGAACCCCTAAACCCTGCGCCCTCAACCCCAAAATCCTGGAACGCCCTGAGCCCAAAAGCTCTGATGCTTCTACTGTAAAGGCACTTGAGGTCTGCGAGCTCCGGTGGCACCGTCTTTTGTTTCAGCTGCTCGGCGTATAGGCCGATCCTGAGCATTGTTTGTAGAGCTGTGTCAGAGGCTTAGGCTGCTAGGCGGCCCTGGCTGCATTGTTGCCCCAAGTGTTTAATATAGAATGTTGAATACTTACCTGTATGTTTCCTTGAACCTCTTGATTGTGACGCTAGTATAAGATGCCCCTAGCAGCATTCCTGGTACCATCTTCTGACGATAGTATAGATAAACTGCCAAGGGGCATTCGTGGTACCATATTCTGACGTAAAATGCCAAGGGGCATTCGTGGTACCAGGGGAGCCAAGCACTCCAGTCGATACCTTTGCTCCTCAAGCGACATGTCGACCATCGATCGAAAGACCTGAAGGTTTCCCGGAAATGTCGGGGCCTTAACAAAAAAAATAGGGCTCCTTTTAAAAAGGGATCCTTAAAGCGGTCTATCAGGGATGTATAGCAGGGTCCTATATTAAGGGCCTTAATAATTAGAATAGGGTGTTGGGCTGCTTTATGGTATAGTTATACCAAGGAAGCCCCCACAGTAGTGTTGGTAAAATTTTTCGGCCCCTATAATATGCTTCTAACTTCTACAGTGGAAATTAGTTTAGAGGTGTGAGGTTGAAGGACCTTGATAGTTAGAACAGGGTTTGGTGATTCCTTATTATAATTATGGTATAATACCATTCTAATTATTCAGGCCTCTGCATATAGCACCCTTATAGTATCCCTTATTTTAGCCGTATAGACCCTTTTAATGGATCCCTTTACAAGAGGCCTATTCTAACTATTAAGACCCCTATATTGTACAGTTGAAGGACCTGTTAGAAAAATCGCAGGAAAACATGTTGCACAGCACCCTAAACCCTAAACCCTAAATCCAACCCTGAACCCTAAACCCTTAACCCCTAAACCCTTAACTCAAGACTCAAGAGGTTTTCCTTTGTACTCTTAGGGTTTGTACCCTTGCGTTTGGGTCCCTAAACCATGGAATATGGCCCTCAATAGGGGTATTCGAGACCTCAAATCTAGGGTTACAAACGTTTCGGATGCAAACTTAAATGTCTTTGATAAACCCTTAAACCCTAAACCCCTAAACCCTAAACCTCCCCGCAAGGAACTCCTAGGGAGGACCGCGCCTTCCAAGTGAATCAACGACACAGCTCCATCTTTTCTCAGACCCCCGGGAGGATCCAAAAAGTAGATCCCTTAAGGGGGGTTCCTATAAAGTACCCTTACTAGTATAGGGTCCCAAATTAGGGGATCTACTTTCTAGATCCTCCCGGGGGTCTTGGTTAAGAGGGTTGAGGGTTTCGGCGCTCACACTCGGAAGGGTTGAGGGTTTAGGGTTTGGAGTTTAGGGCATCAGAAGCACTTTGGCCAATTATAGAAGCAAGGGTTTAGGGCCTGGGCTTTGGGGTTCAGGGTTTAGGGTTTGGGTTCAGCGTTTAGGGTCCGTGTTTTACTCGGTGCATCAAGCGGCCTGCTGCAAGCAAACGACATGTCAGGAATGCCTGGAAAAGCCTCTAAGAAAGGGAGGAAAAATCGAAAGCCCAGGCCAACAGCGGACCACATCTATTCGCGTACGTCTCTATCTAAACATAAACATGTATGTATATGTTATGTGTATACTCATGTACCTACCCTTTTCCTGTGTTTCCTGATCAAGCACGGAACTCAGCACATCGATTCGGCACTACGTCATCCAGGGTCCTGGTCTGCACACATGCTTGGAACAATCCTACTTGTCAATCGTGCTCTCCGTCACAGTCCGAAAACCGCGAGATCGTGCTCTCAGACACAGTTCCCGAAGCCGCGAGATCGTGCTCTCCCTCTCCCACACAGTCCCAGAACCAGGAGCCCAATGTTTTGGATTCAACACAGTGGGACATCTCAGCACTTTCGCATGCCTGGATGCTCAAAACCATGAAAAGTCCCCAATGTTTTGGTCTCTTACACGTCCAAAACATTGGGACCTCTCTACACTTTCGCACGCCAGGTCCCAATGCTTTCAGGGTTTAGGAGCCCGCGGGCCCCAAGATCCCCAAACATTGGTTTTCTTTGGGAGTTTCCGAAAAAAGGGGGTACCCTAATATAGTACCCAAAATAGTAGGATCCTTACTATAAGGACCCCAAAGCAAGGTACCCCTAATTTTCGGAAACTCCCATTTGTTTTATTTGGGGGGACCTCACGGACCTCTCAGCACTCAATTTTTGCTCCGCACTTCTCCGCACATGTGCTCTCCCATATAGTACTAGCTGATGTTCAGTGAATTCTGCGACTACGACCGACTCTTGCTTTGATAAATTATGAAGACTAAGACGAAGAGAGCTTCAGATTAGCATTCGTTCAACATGTCATGTTCACAGAAACCTTCAGCAATATTCTTTATTATGTAGCTGAGTTCTTCCTGGTAGTAAGATATTGTCACTGCTCAATTGCATTCGAGCGCCAAGGTGTCGAAATAGCTTATCTGTGATGCACAAGTAGTCAATAGGCAATCCTATGTAACATATACTTAATCCAGGTGTTTTAGTAATTTGACTGTCGCGCATCAGTTGCATATAGCATTTGCTCAGATACCCGGTAATTACTACTACAGTACTTCCATCATGCTTATTGAGCATCAAACCTATATTTGGTGGAATACTCGTATTTGAGGAGTGATGGCTGCATGTTCGCACGTATGTTGGTCATTCAAATTCCAATACTCAGATTCCAAAATTGAATGACTTTTTCTCACAATATTTACGTCGTATTCAGGCGGTGCATCACTTTTCTAGGTTTATACAATATTTAACAGAACGGGGGACCCTGGGAGTGCGCATCTGCCGTGATTTACGCGCGAGTCTTTCGAAAAAATCGAAAACAAACAAGAACACCAAAAAAAACAAAGATCTGACACTCTCCGGCCATGGACACCTCAGTCCAGGAGTCTCTGATAATTGTTTTTTTGTTCTTTTTGGTTTTGTTGTTTATTTTTGTTTTTTTGTTTTTTGATTCTTTCGAAAGACTCGCGCGTGAAGCACGGCAAGCGCTCACTCCCAGGGACACAACGTAGCATGGCCAACATATACGACTAGATAGCAGTGCGAGATACCAAACTTGCACATCAGCACTTTTTGTCTTCAGGATGATGAGAAGATTTGTGGGTATGCGAGGCGCATCAAAACTACAGCGGCCTCACCTTGAGTGCAGACTCCCTGCCATTCACACACAAGCAAACAGTACAGAATTCTATCTGGATTGCTATTTTGGTATCCCTGCTTGACTTCATATAGAGACTTAAAAACAATCAGATAACATATAATCAAAATTATAAAAATCGACAATAACGAACCAGTATCGGAATAACGAACATGAAATTAAAGATAAAACTTCTATTAGTATCCAATTACAATATCTAAAATTAGCAAATAGTTTTCTTATACAATAACGTTATGATCAACAAATAAAAAATTATACAAACAGATGAAATAAGCTAGATTCATTAAATTTGCCTTCGTCATTCTCGTAGGCTGCTGG